TGTACTGCATCTGCCTCAATTTTACCATTGCTCACCTTCGCTCTTCTCTAATGTACCTGATGCTTATTTGAAGAGGCACATTTGTATCCACACACCCAAGCCTTGCATGATCTGTATGATGGCAGTTTCTTGAAATCCAAAATCCGGTGGCCTAATGACGAAGCAAAAGGACAGTACTACTGCAAGCCACATCTGGATTTCACCTTCAGCATTGTGGGGGCACTATACAGCAAGAGCTCATCCCAGCTCACTATATGCAGATCTGCACACAAATGTGCACCTGGTATTCTTACAAAATTTTAGTGAGTCACACTGTCAGGACAAAGCCCTACCTACATCCTCCCATTCTGATGCACTTCACCCATAACCTGGGCTTGGCAGTAGAGCTGTATCTCCATGAGTAGGGTGTTGGGTGAAATGCATCAATGCGGGGGGCTTTGTTATGACCCTCTGGATCAAGAAAGTTTGTATACCACCAGGAATCCTGCATGGGTTTTTTTTCTTTTTTTATTTTCCACCAGGTGCCTGCTTTCCTCCAACCAATCAAAGACATACTGGGGGAGATTTACTAAAACTGGAGCACTCAGAATCTGGGGCAGTTGTGCATGGCGGCCAATCAGCTTCTAACTTAAGCTTGGTCAATAAAACCTGGAAGCTGATTGGTTTCAATGCAGAAGTGAGCCTGATTTTGCACTCTCCAGTGTTAGTAAATAACCCCCACTGGTAAGTTGGCAGATAATAATTCTGGCAACAAGTAACTTGTAAAAAACATGGCTAAGGCCCGAAACATTGTGTTAAAAATTGGACACGTAAGTAAAAAATATAATTGGAAAAATGAAAAAACATAACATATCTTACTGTTGAAAATGTAGTAAAGGTAACCTGCGCCTAAAGTTACCACTCTAATACTGGGAAATCATCTTACCCCATATTATAAAATCAAAGTTACATTGGGCTAGCTTTACTAAAACTGGAGCACTCAGAATCTGGTGCAGCTGTGCATGGTAGCCAATCAGCTTCTAACTTCAACTTGTTCAATTGAGCTTTGACAATAAAAGCTGAAAGCCGATTGGTTTCTATGCAGATCTGCATCAGATTTTGCACTCCCCAGTTTTAGTAAATAACCCCCCATTGTGTTCTTCAATAGTCTTTCTTCTACCAATCTGCTAATTTTGCAATCAAGACAACGCATTGGAGGAGGGATCCCTGATGCATGCATTGCCAGATTTAGGCTAGGTTCACACCTATGCAGTTTGCATTTGATCCGTTTCTGCTGTGCATTTTGAGTTGCGTATTTGCCACATTTTTTATGCGGTTTGCTTTTATTTTCTTGTTGCTAGGCAGATTTAAAATGCATAAAAAACGCACTACATGCTTTTCTGTAGTGTATCCATTGTAGTCTATAGAAACCCAAAACACAACTTTTTGTATTATTAAAAAAAAGTCCCTGACCCTTTCCAAAAACGCATTGGCTGAAAACGCGGAGATGTGAACATGTTCCATAGGAAACCATGTTAAATGGACTGTAGTGTGTTTCTGCAAAACACTGCGGAAAACGCTTAGGTGTGAACCTAGGGTTACACTGTTCCTTGTCCATGGTAGTACACATGTGTAGATGTGAATGTTCCCATAGAGTTTCCCTTTGTCTTTCATACTAAGCTGCAGCACATAGCTGTGATCCAGCCACATCGGAAAGAACAAGATTTCTATTTGACACCTATTTGTATGCAGCAAACTGCAAGGATTTTGCTGTGTCAAAATCTAAAAGTGTGAATAAGCCATTAAAAAAAAAAAATGGACGTGTCAAAGTGTTCGTAAATAATCAGGTCACTATTTTATATACTGACAACTAGTTTGATGGATCGCCATGTAATATGGTTCGTGTGTATGGATCCATGTCAGTCGGTGTTCTGAGATAAGGACATGAGAGCTATGCTGTAGCCATTGCTCCCTAGCCAGCAACAGTTCCTTGGTATGGTGATCACTGACCGGAAAGAAGAGGAAGATCTGATAATCTGGACACATCACAAGGCACTACTGTGGTTAAAAGGTACTGCTGTGGTACTATGCAGGATTCCCCCTCTAGCACACTTCCAGGCAATGTTACCCCCCATCCTGGGCACTCTGATATGATGGCAGCCATGTTCACTGTGGTTACAAGAATTCAGATTGACACTTGAACTTTATATACAAATGGGGTAGATTGACTAAAACTGGATTGTGCAAAATCTGGTGAAGCTCAGCATGGTAGCCAATCGGCTTCCAGTTTTTTTTTTTTGTCAAAACTGACTTGAACAAGCTGATTGGTTACTATGCACAGCTGCACCAGATTCTAAGTGCAACCATTTTAGTAAATCTCCTTAACTGGCTTCAGCTTGTATATGGGTTCCTTTGCACTAGCAGCTGGGGGATGGTAAACATGCTGCAGTAAAAATTATACCCCTCATCAAGTTCAGCAGGCAATATTGCCGTCGAATGTGACAATTTCAAGTAAATGGGGCTGTTCCATGTGAAATGCATGCAGTTTAGGTGCAGTCCTTAAAGGAATAAAACAGGTGGTGAAGAAGTGACACATCACCACCTCACTGCTTATCAAACACCTCTGAAAAGTGATCCACCGCAAATTGCTTTGCAGAGGTATGGCAAGGTCTGCTACAAGGGTAAACTTAGCCTAGTAGTATGTATAGTAAAAAGTTTAACAAAGAAACTTGCAATAAGGGAAACATGAAGGCTGGTTGAGACTGCTTCAGATAGTAGCATTTTTTGGCTGTCATGCTGATGCAATGGTTTTAATACCCTGAGACGCTGACCTGGAACATGTATGCCGAGAAGAACTTGTGATTTGCTTTAGGGCAGTGACTCAAACTACTGAAGCCAAAACAGCATGACAGCCAGACAATCATTTTCAGAAAGCAGTCAGCATTAGCAGTCCCCATATTTCTTTTCTGAAAGTTAAATGTCAAGAGACTTCCTAAGGACAAGTACTCACAATATATCCAGACAAAGCGTTAATTACCAGAAGGAGCAAAGGTAAATCATTTATTATAGTATTGATTGCTGGAAAGAGCAAAGAAAAGATCAATATATATTTTCCCCCAGTCTTTAATGTTGTTCTTTCTAGCAATCAATATTATATCAAATAATTTACCACTGCTGCTTCTGGTATTTAACACACAAATACTGTATAGAAATATATACAGCAGGTAAAATAAGTATTGAACGCGGCTCAGTAAATATATTTCTAAAGGTGCTATTGATAGTAAATGTTCACCACATGTCGGTAACAACCCATGCAATCCATACATACAATGAAATCAAAACAAACAAGTTCAGAAATAAAGTTATGTGTAATAAAAATGGAATGACTTAGGGAAAAAAGTATTGAACACGCTAACTGAAATGTAATACTTCGTATATGGCAGCTTTAAGACACCTCCGGTATGGAGAAACTAGTCGCATACATTGCCCAGTTGTGATTCTGGTCCATTTCTCCACACAGTCTTCAAATCTTGAAGGTTCCGTTGGCCTCTTCTATGAACTTTGATCTTTATTTCTTTCCATAGATTTTCTATTGGATTCAAGTCAGGTGATTGGATGGGCCACTCTAAATTTTATTATCTTTGTTTGGAATAGAGGTGAATCAGGAAAATCCTGCACTAGATGGAGCTGACGATCATAATAAATATTTCCTATGATCACCAGCTCTGCAGTTTCACAGGACAAGTAGATTAACCAGGGAAATGCTGACAGAGGCAGCCATATTTGTCATTGCCCTATTTTCACCAGTGCTGCTTGCTAGAAAGCTGGCCGGGCCAAACAGTATCATTGGTTACAGCCACTTGCCCCATAACAACCCTGTGCGTTCCAGGGGATGAATATGCACTGAGGATGGAGTGACTGGTATAAAGACTCCAGTCTCAATGCTGCCCCCACTGTGCCTGCATGAGTATTACTTCAATGCCATACTCTAAAACCTAAAAAACAAATGATCAAATCCCAATTATAAATATTGCTTTGGCATTAAAAAAAAGTGCAAACAATGTTATGTTCCTTGTGTAAACTACTATTCTTCCACCCCTCACATAGTAGAGATGGAGAGGAAGACATGTTTGATGGCCACTCTGGGTGACATCTATGACTCCCTCCATAGATACAGTGAGTGTTGCCACCCTTGGACAGGTGTATGCAAACAATTACCAAGTGAAAATAAAGAGAAAAAGAAAACTAATGCAGTCACCTAAAAAAAAAAAAACCCAGGTAAGCTGCAATATTATTTATTACAGGTACTTGTATAGCACTGTCAATTTACTCAGCGCTTTACACATATACAGTATATTGCCAAAAGTATTGGGACGCCTTTACATGCACATGAACTTTAATGGCATCCCAGTCTTAGTCTGTAGGGTTCAATATTGAGTTGACTCACCCTTTGCAGCTATAACAGCTTCAACTCTTCTGGGAAGGCTGTCCACAAGGTGTGTCTGCCTCCTTGAGGACAAGGACTAATGTGATTGTACGATATACACTATATTGCCAAAAGTACTGGGACACCGGGCGGCACAGTGGCTAGTGGTTAGCACGTTTGCCGTGCAGTAAATGGGTCATGGGTTCAATTCCCAACCATGGTGCCTCCTGCATGGAGTTTGCATGTTCTCCCTGTGCTTGCGTGGGTTTCCTCCAGGTACTCTGGTTTTCTCCCACACTCTAAAGATATACTGGTAGGTTAATTGGCTCCTGTCTAAATTGTCCTAGTTTCATCTCTGGCCATGCGGGATCTCCTGCATCGTAGGGGTTGGGGAAAGACCTGGCAACCTACCCTGTAAAATAATTGCTAAGAGAAATTATGGAAAAAGTTGCTTACGAGTGATGGTGCATGCAATCGCCAAGGGTCAGATACGACTGAATGGTTAGATAAAGACTGGGACACCCCTTCAAATCATTGGCTTCAGGTGTTCCAATCACCTCCATGGCAACAGGTATAAAAAATCAAGCACCTAGGCATGCAGACTGCTTCTACAAACATTTGTGAAAGAATGGGTCGCTCTCAGGAGCTCAGTGAATGCAAGCATGGTACTGTGATAAGTTGCCACCTGTGCAATAAGTCCATCCGTGACATTTCCTTGTTACTAAATATTCCTCGGTCAACTGTTAGTGGGATTATAACAAAGTGGAAGCAACTGGGAACAACAGCAACTCAGCCACAAAGTGGTAAGTCACATAAAATAACAGAGTGGGGCATGCTGAAGCATACAGTATGCAGAAGTCGTCAGCTGGCTGCAGAGTCAATGGCTAAAGACCTCCAAACTTCGTGTGGCCTTCAGATTAGCACAACGCAAGGTAAGTGTGTCTACCATGGTGTTTGACTATTCTTCCAGAAGAGCATTTGTGAGGTCAGGTACTCATATCGGATCAGAAGGCCTGGCTCGTTGTCGCTGCTCTAATTCATCCCAAAGGTGTTCTATCGGGTTGAGGTCAGGAATCTATGCAGGCCAGTCAAGTTCCTCCACCCCAAACTCCCTCATCCATGTCTTTATGGGCCTTGCTTTGTGCACTGGTGTGCAGTCATGTTAGAACAGGAAGGGGCCATCCCCAAACTGTTCCCACAAAGTTAGGAGCATAAAATTGTCCAAAATGTCTTGGTGTGCTGATGCCTTAAGAGTTCCCTTCACTGGAACTAAGGGGCCAAGCCAAACCCCTGAAAAACAACCCCACACCATAATACCCCCTCCACCAAACCCTACACTTGGCACAATGCAGTGAGGAAAGTACCGTTCTCCTGGCAACCGCCAAACCCAGACACATCCATCGGATTGCCAGACAGAAAAGCGTGATTGGTCACTCCAGAGAACACATCTTCACTGTTCTAGAGTTCAGTGGTGGCGTGCTTTACATCACTGCATCCATCGCATTGCACTTGATGATGTAAGGCTTGGATGCAGCTGCTCGGCCATGGAAACCCATTCCATGAAGCTCTCTATGCACTGTTGTTGTGCTAATCTGAAGGTCACACGTAGTTTGGAGGTCTTTAGCTATTGACTCTGCAACAAGCTGACGACTTCTGCACACTGTGTGCTTCAGCATGTGCTGACCCCACTCTGTTATTTTATGTGGCTTACCACTTCGTGGCTGAGTTGCCTTTGTTCCTAGTTGCTTCCACTTTGTTATAATAGCACTAACAGTTGACTGTGGAATATTTAGTAGCAAGGACATTTAATGGATGGACTTATTACACAGTTGGCAAATCAATCACAGTACAATGCTTGAATTCACTGAGCTCCTGAGAGCGACCCATTCTTTCACAAATGTTTGTAGAAGCAGTCTGCATGCTGAGGTGCTTGATTTTATACACCTGTGGCCATGGAGGGGATTAGAACACCTGAATCCAATGATTTGGAGGAGTGTCCTAATACTTTTGGGAATATAATCTATATTGTACATTCACATTAGTCCTTGTCCTCAAGTAGCTTACATGCTAAGGTCCCCAACCAACATTCACACATACTAGGGCTAATTTAGACATGAGCCAATTAACCTACCAGCATGGCTTTAGAGTGTGGGAAGAAACTGGAGTACCCAAAAGAAACTCCAGGCAGGTAGTGTCATGGTTGGGATTTGAACAGACGGCCCTAGTGCTGCCAGGCAGAAGTGCTAACCACTGTGGTTTTGGGCTCAGATGTGCTTTAACTTAGAAAAGCCTGGTTTCCTCAATCATTTTTATTCACTTGGTGATATACCTGGAGATGGTTCTTTTTCCTCCTCTCATGAAAAGGCACCTCATTAAAAAAAACATACATTGTCATAATCTTTGTGATTTGACCTTTACAATCAAAATGCATTTAATTAAACAGGAAAAGCAAATAATGCACAGCTATTAAAAACACATTGTAGATTTGTGAATTTACAACCTTTTGTAAATACTAGTCTAAGTCATGCTAGTTTTTATGTTGCAAACTTGACATGACTTTCTTGAAGCACTCTTCTCTTTTACTATGGGAGTGATATATTCAGATCTCAATAAATGTACTGGCTGTGGCTTTAAAAATCTTTTCACACACTTCTGACAGTGCCAAAGCTTGCTACAGCTACAGCCAGCATACCCCTTAAGATGTGTTTGCCATGCCCAGACTGGAGATGAAGGGTGCTTCCAGAAAGCTGCTCCTAGTTTTCTAAATGCTTGGCAAATATTTGCTGAAGAAGATGATGGCCTTTTAAGCAACAGCATTTGGACGACATCAGTGTGTTTAGGGCCTACGGGCATCATTACATCAACCCCTACTGCCATTTCAAGCAGAGACACATGAAATTCTTCCGATTGAAGTGATATGGTCTTGAAGTCATTACTATGCAATATTCATAACATTTGATAGAAAGAAGTTTTCTTTTTCATGAAAAACTTTACTTTTTTTTTAATTTCGGGTTGAGAAGTGTCAAGTGTTTCTCCAACCATGCCAAGATTTCTTTTACTTACTTTGAATGCCTCTAACCTTTTCCATTTGACAGAACTAATTTCCTCCTTCCTTAATTTGATTGGCTGCCTCATATGACCGACCTCTGAGCAATTTCTGAAAACTGCCAATCAAACAAAAGCAATAAAGAGAAGAAAGCCTGATATCTGCATGGAAACCAATTTCAAGCAATAGCCTGCTCCTACGAAGGAACAGACTCACCAATAATGAGCAAAACATGTCGTTTGCTAGAGATATCAATATTTTTACTTTCAATTCTTGGGATAATGAGAATCTGATTTGTATTATGGAAAATGAAAGCAACCAGTTTACTGTGAATGCGAAAGTATAAATAAATCTGTATTTTCTCATTTTTCTACCTGGTTATGTACTGAAATAATACAACTGGAAAAACTGCATCTAGAACGGTCATGCTGATCCCAGATTCACGGATCTTGAAAGTCATAGGCTTGTAACAATCATGTAACCAGCAGTGGCTGAAAAAAAGCTGTATGTTTGTTCCAGGTCACAATGGCAAGGCAGTAGTTGCTGTACCTCCATTATTTACCAATGGTTCCCTTCATATATATAATTTTTTAATTGATTAAAGCGGTTGTAAAGGCTGAAGGTTTTTTTCTGTCATGCATTCTAGGTAAAAAAAAACCTTCCGTGTGCTGCTCCCCCCCACAGCCTCCCCTAATACGTGAGCCACCTCTCGACCCAACGTTGTGCACAAAGCCTTGACTGTCCCGGGTTTCTCTCTCCTCATTGGCTTCTACTGCTGTTAATAACAGACAGTGAGCCAATGAGAGAGAGCAGGGGACAAGGCCAAGCCACAGCTCTGTGTCTTATGGATGCATAGAGCAGGGCTTGGGAGCGAGCAGACACCAGTGCACCCTAAGCAAGCAGCTTGCTATTAGAGGCACTGGTCAAGGGGGAGGAGCCAGGAGCACTGGCAGGGAACCCGAGAAGAAGAGGATCGGGGCTGCTTTGTGCAAAACCACTGCACAGAGCAGGTAAGTATGACATGTTTGTTATTTAAAAACAAACAAAAAAAAAATCCCCTTTAAAATCACTTTAATGCTTAGAGAGCTGCATTTGTTTGCATCGTTTAGATCTGCTTGGAGTACAGCTTTAAAGTGATTCTAACAGTTTAATTTTTTTTTCTTACAAAAAATACAACTGTCTACACTTACCTACTGTGTGCAGTGGCATTGCACAGAGCAGCCAAGATCTTCCTTTCCTCAGGTCCCCCAGTGGCGCTCCTGGCCCCTTTCTTCTGTTGGGTGCCCCCACAGCAAATAGCTTGATAGGGGGGCACCCCAGCATGCGCACTCCCCCAGCCATTGTTCCATGTGTCCATTCACACGCAGAGCTGCGACTCAGCCCTGCCCCCTCTCTCTTCTCAATGGCTACCGCTGCTGTCTCAGCCAATGAGAAGGGGGAGTCCCGGGATAGCCAAGACGCCAGTGCACATCGCTGGATCGAAAGGGGGGTGAGTATTAGGGGGGCTGGGGAGATGCTGCACAAAGGTTTTCTACCTTCATGCATAAAATGCAAAAAACCTTCAGCCTTTACAACATCTTTAATATATATTTCAATTTATTTTTTTAAATGCGAGCAGAGTAAGTACCTAAAACTGGCCTGGTGTCAGCCTTTTGCAGTCTACTGTACAGCAGAGCTCAGGAAAAGAGGGAGCAGCACAATGAGCCAATGAGGTGTGCTGCAGTGCAAGCAGCATGCTGATTGGAGCACATCAGCCTGCTGCTTCTCTTTTCACTGTCCAGTCACAGAGTGGGGAAAGGGAAAAGACCTAAAAGGGAAAAGACCTAAAAGTGAAAAGAAAACAGAAAATTTAGATCCTCTTCCCTACCACACAGGGCTATACTCTGATTAAAAAGTGTGGCTATGGTTGCTAAATAAAAATAAATGACCTGACGCAACCACAATAAGGCCCTGTTCAAATCTGAGCACAGTGAAAACATGCAAACGTTTCTGGAACATGGCAAAAATGAGCCACAACATGGAACACTTTTGGAATGGCACACTAAATGCACTAGGCAAAAGGCATTGTGTTGCACGACAACGCGCCTGAAAAACGCACAAAATTGCCCTGTTCAAAGACACCTCAAAAGTAAGCTCAAAAGAAAAAAAAAAAAAAAAGGAAGGAAGAAGAAGGGGGTACAGGAGCTATGTTTTGGCGCATTTTGGGAGCATAGGACAACACATTCAAGCGAATGGGATGCCATACACTGTTGCACCAAAAACACATTACTATTCTTAGACATGAATGTAGCCTAAGGAATGATGGCTGCCAGCTTCCTTCTTGTATACCGAACTTCTTAGCTCAGAACACTAATCAATCCTGGCAGTTGGGGGCGCTTGTCAGGGGTCAGAAGCACTGACCAAGTGCTTCATATTTAGTGTCCATCTGAACATAACCTAAAACGTGAAAAGCATACACGTCATTGTAATTATAGGGGATGCAATGTTTTCTTACCCAAAACGAGTCTCATCTCAAGGGCTATTTAACTAGGCAGATCCTAAAGTGAATCTTCATCTTTAAAGAAAGCGAATATTGAGCTGGAAAAAAAAATCTCTACAGAAGTACTAACCTTACAGTACTTATGATAGTCATAATCATAATGCCCCAATACCTCCCCTTTGCTCTGATTGTCTTATAGGTTCTGTGGACTTTGATCTGTATTATTGTGGCCCACAAAGATTGTGATGGGCTGAGGACATTTGTGTAGTTATCTGGTCCCCCAGTAAGTATATATTCCCAAACTTAGGTTAATATGCCACTCTGGCTACTTAACATCTGACCTTGTGGTTTCTTTTCCCAGTTCGGATTGTGCATCCCCACATCCACGTAGGGGATAGGC